GGGGAGTTAACAGCATCAAATGCTACAGAGAAGTTACTGAAAAGGACACAAACCTGATGACCTAATATCTTTGCTTCAGTTTATTCCATTAGCACATTTCTATGTCCTTGGCTTTTCCTTGCCTTAAGGTGCCCTACCCAAGTGAGAATGTGATGATATTGAGATGCTATAGCTTCAGCTGCTAGGACATAATAGTGACCTATTCCTTAAATTTAGCTTCTCAGGTTGCACGTGTCCATCATTTTCCAAAGAAAGGTAGGTAGCAGGTCCCCTCCAACTCTCCCCAAACTACCTCTTCTCTATACCTGTAGACATCCTTGGTAGATTCTTGACATCTGATGTCTTTAAAAAATCAGTTTATCTTCATTCTTGTACATCCTGAATTGACTAGAGATGAAGAAAGAGATTGCCCAGTATGACTGAAGACCTAACTGAATTAGAACCAATGACACAGCTTTGGGAGTGATGGCTTGGACTCTCAACTAGGAGCAGGACAAAGAAAACCACACTCTAAAATATGCTTCCACATGGATGATCTCAAGAATTTGATCTCAGACTAGCAAATTATGGAAAAGCTTGGCATTCAAGTTTGATATGAATAAAGTGATGGTGGTGGGGGGAGGGGAGGGTGACTGTATTTGGAGGTGGGAATGGAATTTAAAGTCTTGGATTTTAGAGCAGCATCAGTCTTGAGTGGAGACATGATCCTCAGGTGTGACTGGGAAGTGGTGGCCAGAAGAACAGCACTGGCCCCTAGCAGGTCCAACGGCTGGGAGAGAAGGGTAGCAAATTAGAGGAGCCATCAGTGTGGAAGTGGAAGTAGTGAACTAGGAGCCAGGCGGGTGCCATCCTCCACCATGACTTGTTTAGGGCCACAGGTACCATGGGGCTTACACTGCTGAGTCTGACCAGTACCCCATCACTATGGAGTGTCAGGAGCAAAGGTACTGCCCAGCCTGGGACTGGTGGGTTGGAAGTGGTGATGGGGGGAGGCTTCTGCAGGAGCTCCAAGAGGCAGGAGGTGGCACTGTCCTCTGGAACTAAAAGGCTCTGTGGTTTCTACACACGCAATCAGCCTCAGAGTACGCTATACCACTTTTCCTGTCCTGATGTTCTTTATGACCAGATCCCTCTTGAGAGGAAGGAGGTGGAGGGCCACTGATCCCTTACATTTGCCCCCAAATTACTATACTGGCTGGGGACAGTTTTTATTGCTTTACTTTAAATTTTTTCCTCAATAACAATGATGGAATTTAGTTCATGGCTTGGTTTCTAGGGGGATTTATCTTCTCAGAAGGTGACAGGATTTCAGGTGTTTTGACCCAAGTTGGGAAGTAAGCAGAGGAGAAGTGAATTTCTTCAAGAACAATATGAAGTTAGTAGAAAGCACTCACACAAAGGGCCCATCAATGCGTATTTTCCATAAGGTCACACAGCCCAGAGGCCTGGGTTTCACAAGCATCTATAGTGCAGATCTTTATGACATAGTTAATAGGATGCTGGGATGAGAAAGATGTACGATCAGCTCTAGAACCAAATCCCTAAGTTGAACTTGGCAATGAATGGTTAGGTTGACCTCAGGATATGACATCCCACTTCATTTGTAAAGGAAATCAAAAGAAACTTGAAGAGGAACCTTCCTTCACTATCGGTGGAAATGTAAACTGGTGCAGCCACTATGGAGAACAGTATGGAGGTTCCTTAAAAAACTAAAAATAGAACTACCATAGGATCCAGCAATCCCACTCCTGGGCATATATACCCGGAAAAGACAAAAACACTAATTCAAAAAGAAACATGCACCCCAATGTTCATAGCAGCATTATTTATAATAGCCAAGACATGGAAGCAACCTAAGTATACCAAAGAAGATATGGTATATATATATATACATACATACAATGCAATATTGCTCAGCCATAAAAAAAGAAAGAAATAATGCCATTTGCAGCAACATGGACAGACCTATAGAATAACATACTAAGTGAAGTAGGTCAGACAGAGAAAGACCAATGTCGTATGCTATCACTTATACATGGAATTTAAAAAAATGATACAAAGGAACTTATTTAAAAACAAAATAGACTCACAGACATAGAAAACAAACTTATGGTTACCAAAGAGGAAAGGGGAGGAGGGATATATTAGCGATTTGGGACTAACAGATATACAGGACTATATATAAAATAGATAAACCAACAAAGACCTACTGTATAGCACAAGGAACTATATTCAATATATTGTAATAACGTATAATGGAAAAGAATCTGAAAATTCTTATATATATATATATATATATATATATATATATAAAACTGAATCATTTTGCTGTACACCTGAAACATTGGAAATCAACTGAACTTCAATTTAAAAAAAAGTTGCAAAGAAACTCTGTACCTAATACTTGATGGATTAAATCTCCAGTGGGGGAATAAAAACTCTAGACTACCTAACTGAGAAAAGAAAAGAAAAAAAAAGCAACTTGAAGCATGTAAAAGTGAAGAGGAGCTCCCTGTGCAATGCTGCTGTGTGTGCTAAGCCAGGCGGCCTGGACAAGGTACCTGGGCTCTGCAGCAGGACAGACCTAGTGTGGCTCTTCCTGGCTGTGCGCACATCTCCTCACCTCCCCAGCCTCAGTTCCCTCCCCTGTTTCTTTCTTTCCCTCCCTGAGAAAAATAATGCCTACCTCCTTCCACCTCCTTTCTAAAGCATCTAGTACTGTCCACACACATAGTCCTTCAAAAATGGAAATTATTTAAATTACATTTATGATTTTAAAAATCCTAATTTCTGTCCAGATGTGGATGGAAATCAGGACAATTTACTGCTTGTTTAGATCACATGTCCTTAGCCTAGAGCTAGGGATACCTCACGTTTCTTAGAATAAATATCTCGCATGAAAATGCAGCTGAAATTACAGCAGGGGCCATGATTAAGCAACAAGATAATCATCAGACAGAAAGAATCCCAGGGAACAGCCCTGTAAAGTACCCAGAAAAGTACATTCAGCCTCATTTGATTTTATGACTTCTAACTGGTTCCTAGAATTTTGAGCCTGACTGCCTTTCTAGGAAACTTGCAGGACTGCTGAAATGCATAGCTCTGGTAAGCTTTCACAGTCATTGGCCTTACCATTGGAAAATCCTTAATCCTCAGTTAGGAGAAAATCCCTGCTGCAAGCATGCAGAAGCTCAGTTCCATGCCCTCCTTGGGAGTGCAGGAAGCACATGGGCTGAAGTGCTGTGAGCTAACTGCCTCCGAGATGGGAGGACGCCAGTGGCACTTTCAGGATTGGCAGAGGCTCTGCTGGGACACCAGCGGTCATGACTGTGAACCCAGTCTGCACGTGGGCTTCTCTCTGCAGGGCGGCCAGACTACTTAGATTGGATACTCAAGGATTAGAGGTGTTGCCCCATTCTCCTTACCTCACTCCTCTCCTCCCAAACCTAGAAGCTGCTGAAAGGCTTTTCACAAAGGCTGTGTGATGCTTTCTGGAGTTGGATCTTGTTTATTTGAATCAAATCTCTTTTTTTCTAAATATTTAGTTCCTTAAACTCAGAAACTGCCTCTTTCCCTCCATCCTGGCAGCCTCAGTGAGCACCTGTGCATGCCAGCCACCGTCACATACACAGGGACACCATCATGAGCAAGACATTTCCAGCCCAGGCCCAGGGAGCTATAGTCTAGTGGGGAGCTGCCTGCAGGCAGCTCTCTCTAGTTCTTCTCCTCACCACCTACCTGCCTGTGGTTGAGCCTTTTAGGGTCTGGCCCTGGTGCCCCTCTGGAAGAGCTGTGCCCCCCTACGTCTCCGGAGATGATCACTCCAGGATGCCTACGCAGACTTTGAGATCGTCAAGGCCTGAGTGAGGCTACTGCTCAGGTCTGAACTGCTCCTTCGCCTCCCATCAGCAGGTGGGCTCACATGGCCTTTGAGAATAGTCCCCGCTCACTGAGGCCTACCTCAAATCGACCCAGACTGGGTGATTCACTGCATTTGCTTCAATGAGACAATTTCTGAATAAAAATACTTCCCACAGAGATGAAATACCAATGATTTTTTTTTTTTTGCGGTACGTGGACCTCTCACTGTTGTGGCCTCTCCCGTTGCGGAGCACAGGCTCCGGACATGCAGGCTCAGCGGCCATGCCTCACGGGCCCAGCCGCTCCGCAGCATGTGGGATCCTCCCGGACTGGGGCACGAACCCGTGTCCCCTGCATCGGCAGGCGGACTCCCAACCACTGCGCCACCGGGAAGCCCACCAATGGTTTTTAGTCTAGTTCCTGATTTACTCATCAGGTGACTTTGGGCTTCTGTAAGGTGAGGATAATAACTGTACCTCTCACATTGGGACAGTCACCAAGATCACGTGAACTAATATATGGAAAGATCTGGCACCTGCCTACTCCTTCAGTGTTAGCTCAGGTTATTTCTGTGCACCGTAACAGAAGGTCTCTGTGCTGACACACTTCTAAGACATTTTCCCCAGATGTAAGAAATGTTTCAGTAGTTATTGAAGGACACTTCGGAAATTACAGAAATTCCCACCCTTCCTTGGCTATGTTTCTCCATTTTCCACCTGTACAGATGAACAGATCAGCCTGGACCCTGTGTCACTAAGATCATTGATACTAAGCACATCAGTGATTCATGACTCACAAGTCAAGTGAAACTCCAAACCTAACAGAGTATCAACTGAAGCATTTTCCAAGAGGAAAACCCATGTTCTCTCTTCACCTCATTGGGTTGAGGCAATCGGAGCATTCAGGTGAGCTTCAGTAGCAAATGATGCTAGAACCCTGCTGCCCACACTTCATTAGATCCAGGCAGAAAAGTTTCTTAGCTACTGAAGGGAGGAAGCTACAGGGGCCAGTGGAGGCTGAGGATGGTTGTGAGCTTGGCCGGAAAGGAGAAACAGTGGGTGTGTGATTCAAGAAAATGGTTAAACAGACAGAGGGAATGTGGGGAGGTCTCTGCCACCCATGGACACAATGTTACCTACCAATTCCTTCTTCTTCATGCACTCCATGAGGATGATGAACAGGTGCTGAGCTTGGGTTCGAGTGTATGTGAAAGTCTTCTGAATGGTCACCAATAGCTGGTCTCTCAAAGATTCGTTTATAAGTCTGCAGTGAAAAAATGTTGAAAGCGGGTTAACTCAGCTCCTATTTAGTACATATTTCTGACAAATATAGAACACGAGAAAGCATTATGAGGATTTACTTTAGATAGGAGTTATTTCTTCCCATATTTTTTTTCTATAGCAGTTATTTTGATTGTGATTATTTTTTTTTAAGTGCGTTTAAAAATAAATCCATTTCAACATCTCAGTACCTAAATGAGTAAAGGAAGAAGATGGATTTAGTTCTTTTTTGGCTCTCCCTTTTTTCTTTCATATGGCATATGTCTAATGCCCTCTTGCTCAAGTGCTGTTATCAAAAAAATACCTTCAATTAATCCTTTGCATCTTGGTAAAAATTTACTATTAATATATTACTTATTTGAAGGAGATTTAAATTTCACCTTCATGTCTAACTGTGGAAAGAAAAATTTTGTCTCAGTAAGGGATTTCTGAGTATCAGTGAGGAGAAATAGGACTTATGTTTCCTCTAAAATCATTCTGTGAAGGTAGTAGCTGAACTGGCCCACAATTCAGGTCCTCACTATTTATGTTGAACTTTTGCTGTGTTGTGTGCCAACAAGAGTCTGACCCATAAAGAGGTATTATATTGACTACTTTATTTAAAGATAGTTTTCGTATTATAGAGGAGTGAATTAAAACAAGGAAGGTGCATCATATCAAGTTAAAGCTCAATTATCTCTTGCATGTGGACGAATCACAATTAATTTTAACTCCTTTACCACGAGGCTGCTGAGAACTGGTCTATCTCTATCAGCCATCAAATAGCAGGAAAGAAAATTCACTTTGTATTAATAGATACTATTCAAAATCAGGAAGATAAAACTTCTCTTAAGGACTAGTGACAAAATTACCATAATTTGCCTAGTACTTTACAGTTTAGAAATTGTCTTCACACATGAAGCAACAACAACTCCTAGATAAAATAGTATACTATAATTATTATCTCATTTGGTGCCTACAGAAATTTGATAGACAAGAGATCTGTCCAATTCAGAAGGGAAGGATATTTTAGCCAGAAAGAGCCAGATGCTTAAGGTCACTCAGAAAACAAGTGGCACAGTCAAAACCAGAACCTAGTTCTTCTGATTCCTCGGCCGGTGCTGTTTCCACTACACCATGCTGCCTTGTATTACACCTCGCAATACACCACTGCCTCTCTTTATCACTGTGGCTACTTGAGCAGGAAATTATAAAATTTCCTTTATCTGTTTCTTAAAAGAAAGCAAGATGAGAGGCTTGAGAATGTCTTCATATCACTGACCTGCTGTGCCCCAGGATTGTGTGAAGATTCACCTAGACCCACGAGGCTGGATATTATGGTGGCCCTACTTTGAGGCAGCTGCACTCCCCATGATAGAATTATACCAAGGATCCTGGAATGTCACTCACCTTGATGGAGGATTCGGTTACCCTTTTGGCCCCCCAGGAAGATTTATATCATGAACATATACATTCAGAAAAAGAGAATGATCCAGATAAAGTTGAAAAATGATACCAAATCCTCTCAAGATTACTGAATTATTCTGGAGGACTCTGTACTCTTAGTTGTGAACCACTCTGAAACCATCCATTCATTCATTCATTCAACAATTGCTTAGTGATGTCTATTTAGTGCCAGACACTGTGGTGCATGCCAGGGCTACAGGGATAGATGAGATATACACACTCACAGCCTTCAATGGGCTTACACACCAGTGGAGTAGAAAGACACGATCCAGCAATTCAACTATAATTTACAGTGGTCAAGAAGCAGAGAAGCTTGTGACAGTTGAATACAATCTAATCTAAGGGGTTCGGGGCAGACTTCTTTGAGGAAGTGCTCTTTTATCTGAGACTTGAAGAATGGAGGAGCGTTTAGCACTTGAAGGGGGTGGGATGGGGGTGGGGCTGGGGGCTAGGTAAGAGCATATTTGGCAAACAAAACCGCATGAATAGGACTAGTTTGGAGAAAATAAAGAAGGCCAGTATGGCTAAAGAACAGAGAGCAAAAGAAAGACTGGAACAAGATGAGGCTGCAGAAGGGGTAAGCAAGGGCAAGATCATGGGCAATTTTCAAGACTGTGTTAGAGATTTGGATTTTTATCCCCCAGGCAAGGAGAACCATTGAAGGATTTAAGTTGGAGAGTAACATGATTACATTTGTGTTGCCAATTAATTTTCTGTAAGAGTCAAGACATGAGCACTCATACCTGGGCATGTGTCTACTTGAGAGTCTAGAGGTTTTTGCAATATCAAGTGTACATAAATGTTGTACATGATTAACAACAGAAAAGACTCTCCTGATTAGCCACTTGATAGATCCAATCACTCATCTGCAGGTGTTTAATTTTGACAACAACTCAAAATTTGTTTTCTATTGCCAAACATCTGTAATGAAATCCCAGTTCCCTGAGGTCATTAACGGTTTGAGGGATCTGTCTGTCACTTGTACCCAGTCTGTCACTTTGTAACAATTCAGAAATGATGTACAACTCAGCTGACTGTGGGCTTCAGTGGCTAGGAGAGCTGAAAGACACTAAGCATCTTATACTTTTTAGTCCAATTTTGCAACTGACTGAAATTGTGGCTTTGGTTAAATCATTTAGCAACAAAAACCATGGATTCTACTTCTAGAAGTACAAGAATTCTCTAGGTTGGTGTTTTCCAGAGTGTAGGAAAACTGTCACTGCTGGAGCTGAGATGAATTTAGGTGGAACAAAGGTGGTTTGGTCCTTTCAAAGCATTAGGTTATACTCATTAAATATTAAATAACTGTTATTCCTGGTTTACTTCTTTTTCTGTCTTTCTGATTGCATCAAGAGGACAATTTCATTTTTGATGCTTCTTTGCCTTTCACAGCTCACAAACACTTACAAATCCCCCCTTTTGACAGAGAAATGACAGGTTTTAGGTCCCACACTCTTTGCAGAGAGTTTAATAATATTGTTTTTAAAAAGATACTGTATAATGGTTTGATGTGTTCATAGTGCAGCAGTGTTTATGACACACAATGGGCTTCACAGAGATAATCTTATTTGCTCTTCATAACAATCTGTGAGAAAAGCAGGTATTAATTCCATTTTGCAGAAGAGGAGACTGTGGCCCAAAGAGGTGAAATGATGTGTGCAAAGTCACAAAGCTTGCTCATCTCAGTGCTTCAGTTGGGCCTACTGAATTCAGCCTTCCTTCCATGGTGTTGCTTTTCCTGATTGTAATCTATAAATATGCCTTTCACTTTCCTACTCATCTGCACTGGAGGTAGACATTTGCGTGTATTTGTTGTAGGAAATTGCTTTTCCTTTTAGTTACATAGAAAATATCCGAAGGAAATCAGACACGTTTGGAGAAGATAAGGGGAAACTGGTAAATGAGGACAGCGAAAAAGTGCATTTAGTGCACTGAAGATTACATTTGCTTCTAATTTTCCACAAGTATTTTCTATGCTGACCTAGATGATTTCCATTTGGCACAAATTCTTACTGTCTTCTCCACCACACCTTTCTTATTTTGTGACTATACTTATGATACTGGGAGGCCTACTTTCTTGAAATTATTACTTTCCTAGCTCTTCGCATATTTTTTTCTGCACAACACTGGAATGATTTAAAAATCTTGACTGTTATATTTAATCATGAACAAAAAATAGAAATAAGCTCATTTTAGATTTCTTTTTATGGCACTAAAATAGTGACTGAAAATTTCTTGACACCAAAACATGGTCATAGTATTATGTAAAATTTTAGTTTTAGAATTGGGTCTTTGACAAAGGGGTGCCTATTTATGGAAACTGTTAATTTGTGGTTCCATATGTACCGATGCTATTTTTGGTATACTTCAAATTAGAAGGCTTTCTGATTAGGAAGTGTAGTCATTGAAGTGAGGAAAATCTCTACACTACAGCATTTGTGTCTCCATTTAAATGCTGTACTTGTGATCTGAAGCTTTTCAGATGAGTCACAGAGTTATCTGAAATAGGTCAGTGTTCATCCAGTGCTCAGAGTAACCAAAACTTCCCACAGTTTGCTACTAATATTCTGTTCAAATGCTGGCAATTCAACCCACATGTACATATTTTTCTCAAAATGAATTTATCTGCAATGCCAGAGTTTTGTTCCTAGATTTAAAAATTGGAAAACGCATTCAGAATTCAATGGGACTCAAACAGCTAGGCTTAGGCTAATGGCTTTTGAGGAGAGGAGCCCTTCTTATGCCCCCACAGACACTCTCTCTTAACCTATTCAGATACAGTGTGAGAAAATTTTACTTGTATAAATAAAAATGACTGTTAATAATACCACTGTTTGGTACTTACAAAACATCATTTCCCATGGAATCTCTAACGGTCTAAAAAAAGATATTTTATCATTTGCTTCAAACCAAAGCAAAGTACTAAATACAACATTAGGGCACAGAAAGTTTACATGTCTTGTCTAAGGTCACAGAGACTGGTATTTTTCTTTTTTTCTCTTCCCTTTCTCCTTCTCTTTCTTCTTTAGTAAAAGTTATCAGTTCTTCCCAAATGGCTGAGGTCACAAGTAGCAGCATGACTCTTCCCAGAGAGGCAGGAGAGCATCATGAATAAAAGCATCATGGTCACCAGGGCCAGGATGTCTGGAGTTCAAATGTCACTTCTAGCTGTGTGATCTTGTGCAAATTACTTAGTATTTCCAAGTCATATTTTTTGTATATTTTAAATAGGAATTATAATAGTACTTATAGACTTGTGAACATTAAATGGATTAATCTTTGCAAAATGCTTAGAAAAGTGCCTGACACACAGCAAGTCCTATGTAAACGTTTGCTATTATTAGAGCTCAGTCCTACAATGCTCCTTAGGGAAGCGTCACTGACCAGCCCTTCTTGTCAAGTAGCACAACCAGTGGCCAGGGCCTCTGTGTGTAATGCAGAGCTCTCCCCTGGGATCAACAGTGCTCTGCATACCTGGAGAGCCCAGCGGTATAAGGACAGTCCAATCCTTATACCACTGGGCTCGCCAGGTGTGCA